AAACTGTCGAAAGTACATTTTCATATTCATATTTTATATAGAATTAGAAATCCTAAAGTTAGCATTGGATTTTTCAATGAGGATGGACTTTGGATAATTTGGAAGCAGTGGTTAAATTCAAAATTTGTAGTCTCTGTTTTCCTTCCTAAGCTTGATACATTCCCTGAAGGGGTGGACCTTTAAGTGGAAGTTGCTTTGTAAAGTTATAGTCTAGCTCCTCAGAAACAACAAATATTCTGGGAATTTTTGTATAACAAAATTGCATGTGAGGGAGCAAATTGTTTTATTGACCTAACTCCCTGGTTCCCATAAAAATCATTGGTTTTCATGTTGAGAAGAAAAATGGCTTGGCTAAAATCAAAGATGTTGACTTCAATTTCTGTTACGATTATTTTTCTTCATTTTTCATAAAATTACCTTATAGTGTGCTTTTTATGTGTATTCATGTAGCTTTATCTCAGAGATGATCACAATAGAAAAATAGTCTGTGTATTATTATATACTACCTCATGGTTTGTTGCAACTTCTGGAAAAATAGCCTGTAACATATTGAATGATTTCTTTATTTTCTAATACTTTTTTTTTTGTTTTTGTATTTTTTTGTACCGGGGATCAAACTCAGGTCTTTGTGCTTGTGAGGTAGACAGCGGAACCAATGAGCCAAATCCCTGGCTCATTGTCTAGCACTTTTCAAAATAATCTTGCTTTGTTTATTATGTTGAGAAAATATTGAACTTTATTTTGATATAGCCTGTGATACAATGATATGTGTTAAAGACTGTGCATTTTTAAAAAAAGAAAATATAGTTCAAATATATATATGGAGGATTTAAAGAATATATATTATATATAAATATGTATATACAATTTTCAAAAAAACCTCTCGGTGCATTTTATTGTCTGTTGGTGATGTACGGACACTGCCCATGGCATCTTTGTGCCTTCCAGGGACAGCCTTTATTGCTTGATGCTGTTGCATTCTTACCTGTTGCACTGGCTTTACTTTTGCTCTGTTTTCTACCTGAAGTCCTCTCCCAGCAGTTTCTTGTGTGAGATTCTGCCCGCCCTAGATTCTCTTAGTCCGGCCCCTTCACAGATGGGAACTCACTGCTGCTGGGGCCCTTGCTCTGCTCGCACTACCCATGGCCCCTTTCATTTTAGCAGCATGGGAGGGAGGAGCTGAATTTTGCTCATCTCTGCTCCTAGATGACCTAGTCTGAGAAATATGTATACAGTAGGTACAAAAATTGGTAAGTGGAGTTATATTGACTAGGATAGGAAAGGTAAATGAAAGTAGTCAGGTTAGCTGCTAAAACCATTCCAGGTTGGATTTATTTAGTCTTTTGTGCTTTTTTTTTTCCCCTTTGCTGTTAAATTCATTACTTTATTTGGAGTTTTGTTCCAGATTTAATTCTGGTGTGATGTTGATGTACATTTTCTTTATTTTAGTTGTAGTTGATTACTGTTGGCAGGCAGGTTATAGCACATTTGGTAGTCCATAGTTATTGACAAATTATTGTTGCATTTTTAGATTTTTTGAACACTTATACTAACATTAAAGTCAATGCATATTAAGTTATTATGTGACACAAAATTTATTGGAAAAAATCCTTTTAAGCATTTTATTAAACAACACTTCATAAGATTTTATCCCGAACTTAAATAGTACAACCCTTTTCTCTTATCATAAAGATATGGCATAAAAAATGGTATTTGGTACTGTTTTACTATTTCTTTCCTTTAAATTTCTTTTAATCGGAAATATTTTGTTCATTTTGTTTGTATAAAAATTTGTCTCACAGGTATTAGCTTGCTGCTTTGTTTCTGTTTTAGTTAAAAATATATTTATGTACATCTGTAATCCAAGGAAAACATTTTCTATCATAGTAAAATTATAGAATCATTCAATTAAGATTTTACAATGTAACTGTGTCTTTTAATATAGATGCAGTATCTATTTCTAAATCATTTAATATTTGTTATTTCTAGTTAGAAGAGAGAAATCTTTATTAAGAGTTATTGGAAATTTTTGACTATCAAAACAAGAGCTTATTGTCTTTTTCTTTTGCATCCACTTTTAAATGTAGTTCACTGATAAATCAGTTTTAGTTTGATCAGTGATTATTATCTACAATGTGCCTTGCCATCTCAGAGCGTAATGATAGAGAATAAAGAGCAGTCTCAGCTCTGAAGTGTATAATCTGATTGAGCGGACAGGCCTAACAGCGATGAAACATTTAGTGGGTGATTTAGTGGCAGCAGCTTCCCAGAGTACAAGTGCAGCAGAACTGAAAAAAAGACTGATCTGGATTATATTCAGGATGGAGTCTGTGTGAATGAATTTAGATGTGTGTTTTGCATAGAAGTGATCACATAGGCTGAAAGGAGAGTTCTTTACTGGCATTCAGTGTTGTATGACGGCATTTGTTTTGGGTTGAATTATGCTACACTTCTTTTTCCTTCCTGGGTTTTCCTCCTCTCCCTCATATCGGTTTTTGTGTTGTGTCTCAGGCCCTTTCTGTGGAATTGTATGAGTTTGTCTGCTCTCTGTGGTATTGCTTAGTTCTCTGGGAAGGAATAGCATTTGACCTTTTATATACAAATACAGATTATACTCTTTTTACAGATTCATCACCTTTTGAAATGTACATGTGAGATTTTAAAGATGAAATCGTGTTTTCCTTTTGGTATTCTTAGTAAATTTTGATATTTGCTGAGTGAGGTATGTGTGTGGGGGGAAGAGCATGAGAGGGAGACAGAGGAGGGGCAGAGAGAGGAAGAGGGGGAAGAGGAGAGGGAAACAGAGAGACAGAGATAGAGAGAGAGGCTTTTATAGGTAAACGGAAAAAAATGGTTTCTTCATTAAAAAAAACCCCTAGGTATGAAGAAACTGAAGTACAATTTCCAAGGTTGACAGCAGTGTTGCAGCTAAACCCTAAATATCTTTACTTCATTCTACTTCGGCTCTGTGTGGGGAACCTAGGCATGGTGTTACATGTCGATGATGTTTATATATTTAAGATGAAAACACTCAATCATCGCAGTCTGTTTGGAGTTTTGGCTCGGCTACATACCTGATATTTTTCACTTTTAGCAATATTTGTAATGTTTTTGAACAGTATCAACTGTCCTTTATTTGCTTGGGATGCTGCAGAGTTCTAAGGAGGCAACATTTTCATAGCCGTACTGGGACCTTATTCCCTTCCTCAGCTTGCAAAATTTGAAGATATTTCAGAGGACTGGGGAGAGAGGTTGCCAGGAATTTCTGACATCTCTCCTCTTTCAGGTCTCACTGTCATTTCAGATTTGAAGTGGGGTTGCTGGGGATTTAACTCAGTGGTTCCATCGCTTGACTCACAAATGTAAGGACTGGAGTCCAATCCCTGGTTTAAAAAAAAAAAAAAATCCTGCATCAGATTTGTAGTGGGTGTGTGGAGTTTGCTTTTGATAAGCCAGCTGGGTCTCTTCCTTTCCACAGTGGTGTGGGTTTAACCCTCGTCTCTGCCTCAGCACCACTGTCCAGGGTGCTAAGTGTTTAGTGTGTTGTAGCTAAAACCTCCCAGCAGTGCAGCTCCCGCTTGATTTTTCTGCTGTACTCATAGTATCTATTTATATGCTGAAGCAGCGATGACCATTTCTTTCTTTCTTTTTTTTTTTCTCTTTTTTTGTGACTGTATTTTCTAAGCTGAATTTGGTATACAGGTCTTTGTGACTTTGCCCTTTTTTTGAAATTTACATTAATTTTAAAATTACTATCATTATTAATATTATTCTTTTGTGTGTGGGATTGGAGATCAAGCCCAGGGCCTCATTTATGCTAGCCAAATGCTTAGCCACTGAGCTATATCCCTAGCTCACACTGGAACTAAATTTAAACAGTAAACTATGTACAATTTCCGATTTATGGTTCTAGTATTTTCTTTTAGCTTAAACTTACAATAAGATATTTTTATAGTTAATAACTTCATAAATATTTAAGTTAAACTCCAACAGACATCCAAGTTAGTTCTTTTTTTAATAAATGAAAGGTATGCCCTACAACAAAATAATATAGAACATCTCTGTTTGAAAATAGTGTCCTTCAATTGGCCAGATAGATTTTGTGTATCAGTGATGATTCACGAAGATTTTGGTTAAGTGTTAATTTAATGATTGTAAAATCATTTTAAATACTTTTTTGTATTCTTAAATGTGAATTTAAATAAAAATTGAATGGTTAAAGTGTTATCTGTCTATAATAATATCTTTAGTAGCTAGTATGATGGGGAATGGGTAAATTATTCAAATTTTCTAGTTAACTCATGGTTTGTTCTGTTATGCAGTAAATTGTATAGGACAAGGTTGCTGAAAGGGTCAGGATTTGTGAGTCAAGCTTTTGTTATAAAAATGGAAGCCTCATTCTATATTATTAGAAATAAAGCATTTTTTTTCATAAGCAGATTATGAATTTCAGGATTAAGGAAATCTCGTGGGTCTACGGAGCTCAGCTTGTGCACCTTTCCTTGAGCTAGTGTTTCTTAGCTAAACGCTGAGATTTTTCAGCAGGTGGGCTTTCTGCGACTTCTGATTCCAATCCTGATTGTTACTGAAATGTCCCTGAGGTGGTGTTCCCTTGTTCTCTGTGGTAGAACAGAGTTTATAATGTGAAAATGATAAAATGGAAATGTGTGTGATATGCATGTATGAGAGATGTAGGAATTGGTTTTTTTTTTTCCTTTTGTTAAACATTTAAATTATTTCAACTTTATTGGTACACGAGGTGAGAATAAAATCTTTAAACTGGCTAATTTTTTCTCTAGTTAACGTGCAGTTACTAGTGTTTGCCTATTTCCTAGTCTTCCCCAAACTTTTCTGGTTTCTAGTTATTTTGTGTCTTTGGTCAGAATGGTTCCAAGAAGATAGGTAGGTAGCTGCTAACAACAGATGGTCATTTGCTTCTATGCAGATGGAATTTTAACACTTACCAGTATTGTAATTGTAATTTTAATTTTTTCTTAAAGGAGGAATTCAGGGAACTTCGAGAACAGCCAAGTGATCCTCAAGCTGAACAAGAGCTAATTAATAGTATTGAACAAGTATATTTTTCTGCGGACTCATTTGATATTGTTAAATATGAGCTGGAGGTAAAAGAAAACTTTCATTAAACCACACCTAAACCCTCTTTTGTTCAGTGATTGAATTTGTGAAGTTTGAATATTTTTCAGGGATGCTTAATGTTTTGATAACCAGTACAGGTCTCTTGATTATCATAATTGACTAAAAGAACTAGTAGCATTGTTTAATGGTCAAATTATAAAATTGTGATTTTTTAAAAAAAGTTACAACGTCAGAATATCGGTCAGTAAAATATTTCTGTATCTTTTGCTTTTCAGCTGTTATTTCAGTATGTTAGCATGTGGCTTTTATTTTACTTTGTATTGGCTAAGTATGTTTAGACCAGCTGTGAGACTTAATCATGAATATGTATTATGATGAAAACCCACTTGCAGTAATATTGGCATTTTAAACTTATAGGAAGTTCAGAAAGTCAGAATAGTGATACTTTTAGACAGACTAAATGAAATATATATACATGGTATCTTATATGTATACACAGGTCAGTCCGTCTCCAGCTCATAATGCAGTTTCATCACTGACTGTATGTCCAATTGTATGAATGTTTTGTTAGTTTCCCATACTACTCTAAAAACTAATGTAATTCAGATTGCATTCCAGCACCGTCATGCTGAAGCACTTAGTTACCATCCATAGTATTTCAGAGGGGCAGTCTCTGTTGAGTTCTGTTGGAGATCAATAGCAATGTACCTGTGGCTGGTAAAACAGGGAGTCAGATTGAGGCATTTTTCTCGCATATCCCAGTACAGGCCATGGAAACATGGTCTTCAGTACAGGGGCCAGAGACTCCAGTGGTAGTGTGGTTTCCCAGAGGTTGAAGTAGCGGCACTGGGGAGGGGTAGCAAGGCTCAGTGAGGGTTGAAACCAGATTTTTATGTAAAAAAGATGTGTAGGCTTTTGTTGCTGGAGTGTAGTGAGGGTCACTGGGAGGACAGGGCAAGGGCATGTTAACGCTGTTTTGTATGTATATATTGTAGTTCGCTAGTCAAAGGTGTTCATGTAAATGAAAGTAAACAGTTAATTTTTAAAATTCTTTTATGATTTCTGTCTATAGAAGCTCCCGCCTGTTCTTAATTTGCAAGAATTAGAGGAGTACAGAGACAAACTGAAACGGCAGCAAGCTGCAGTGAGTAAAAAACCTTTCAACTTCTGACAAAACTAAATGAAACACTACAGACAGGTGTAATGTTTGCGATTTCATGACTTTAACTAATGTATTATGTGTAAACAAATCCTATTATTTAACTCAGGTGATACATTTATACTGATTTTAATGTGCGTGTGATTTTCCTCATGTTACTTTGATAGGTTTGCTTCTAGAGCTTGGAATTCTCCCTGGTCGCTCTTCTGATCAAAGAATGTAGAACTTGCTTTTAGGTTAGTTAGTAGCTTTAGACTCCTGGTAATGTGGGTATGACTTCCACTTCCCTACACTTAACTTTTCAGTAGTGTTTTTAAGGCACACTAAAGGTCCTGACTTTCAGTTGAAACATATAGATCTAGCGAGAATAAAGGGCAGAGATTCAGAAAATCTGAATTGTAGCCATTGTCTAATTATGACATTGGGCAGATCATTTATTTAACCTTGCTACATCTCTTTTATCTGCATTTCTTATAATGCTATAAAATTCTATTATTCTTTAATTTCTTTATGTTAGGCTGAACTCACTTCATGCAACTTAGCGTAGAAGATTAACTAATAGTAGCATGTGGTCTTGTTAATTTTTTTAAACCAGAGGACAGATGGTAATATGTTTATCTATTTCAATTTAAGATGCACTTTTTAGTAATACATTTGAAAAATCAAGGAAGATATACAAGTCTTTTTTATTACACTCAAAGGTTCTAGCAGTACCAGGGTCTCCTTGGGGGTAGCAGTGATAAAGGTTAGGCTTGGACAAGAAAAGGGGCTTGGACTGTATAGGCCTGTGTAATAAAAATGTGTTGTGCTTTAGAGAATGAGATTTCAGTGAGTGGCGGCATCTTTAGCTTTTCCTTGGCTTCAGCTTATTGACATAGGTTCTCTGCCGTATGTGTACCTTCTGTGTCAGTATGTTTTGGGGAACAAGCCCCATCGTGAGGACTGTGGCAGGTAGCTTTTTGAGTTTGATAAGTTTAGACTTGGATACTGGCATTGCGACTGACTGTGGGCGTGTTACTATTACTTTAATATTGTTCATTGGGAAAAGAAGGAAGTATGAAACCCTCCTCAGCGGAACATCATGAGACCTAATTCCTGTAATAATGTGGAAAAAACACTTATTACCAACTGGGCACAGTACAGCCTGACAATCACTACATTGTCTATTTTTTTTAAACCCAGTGGAGTAAAAATAAATGGATTCTGTCTGCACATGTCTATCCAAATTTATAAACATGAAAATATAAGATATGCAGCTAGAACGTATGGGTTTCATTTTTTTACTTGTGATTCCTATTTGACTTTTTCTTATAGGGACTGTATTATCTTAAGCTTTTGTTAGGTATTCCTAGGGAATCTTTGGAATTCTTAAATAATATTTAGGGATAATTTTGATCTGTCTTTATTAATTGAAGGTTCTAGAGGATGATTTTCTTAACCTTAGTGGAATCCTCTGTCTAGACAAAAGCAATCAGTGTATCTAGAAAAAATTCACATAATGCAAAAATGTTTGATGCAGATTAAGAACACATGAAATGTTAATTCAGTTTCATACGTAGGCAGTGTTTTGTATCATTTGGCTTGGAGAAGGGGGACTAGTGTGTTACTTGAGCAAACACTTGGTACTTTTTGCATGTAATGCTTCAAGTTGCATACCGTAATTCTGCAGTGCAGTTGGCAGGTCCCCTGCAAGGTAGAATAAGAACCTCAGGTTCAAAATGAGTACAGTTCTAACATGTGTACTTTAATATCATTCATAGAGTAAAAAAAATCCTTAGATATCTTTACAGCATTCTAACAAACATGTATTTTCAACCTTTGAGAAGTAAAAACCAAAAGGTCCGTGTAGTTTCTCTTCAAAGTTGTCTTTATAAATGAAGTTGATTAAAACTTTGTCTGAATAAATTCACCTTTTTAAATGATGGATGGGCTCCTAAAGATGGCTACATTTTTGTGCATGTTTGTTAAATCAGATGATATTCATCAACATTAATACTATTTACTTAATATTTATTTATTTATTTATTTTTTGTTTTTTGAGACATGGTCTCACTATGTAGTTGAGACTGACCTGGAACTTACTATGTAGCCCAGGCTGGTCTCGAACTCACAGTGATTCTTCTGCTTACGCTTTCCTAGTGCTGGGGTTACAGGTGTGTGCTACCACACCTGGCTTATTTACTTAATTTCTGATAAGGTCTAGATGCATTGTCATGTACACTTATACAACTTCTTTTAATAATTTCATAGCCTAGTGAAATGTGTAGAGTGATAACATTTCAATAACTGCTATAGGAGTTATTGTTAAAACCTGTGGAATATTCTTGTAAAAATTTTCAATATGAAATGTAAGAAGACTTAGTGTGAGCTTTTGCTTTTACTTCCTTTGTTTGATTGAATGTTTTTGTAGGTCTCTAAAAAAGTAGCAGATTTAATCCTTGAAAAACAGCCTGCTTATGTAAAGGTAGGATAATATTTACTATTTTCATAATAGTATTTTAAAGATGGTTGAGTGACATGCTAGATTTTTAAAATATTAGAATAATTATTTTTGTGTATAGTTACTGTGTGTTTGTGGTGGGAGGGCTATATTTCTCTCTTGTTTGGGGCAACTTATTAAGCTGAAAAAGTTTTATATGTGATTCTGATATGATGACTTTGTTTTCCAAACTTTACGAAAGCTAGTGAAAATTGCTCCTATGAACTTTGTAAGAAAACAACATCAATCAGCAACATGACAATCTGGCTTAATGATGATGGTATAACAGTTTGTCTTTAAAAATAGGATAAAATTGGAACTATCTAGTTGAATTTGTATTTACGCTGGAAAATGGGAGCTTTCAGAATTCAGAGATATCTACGAGTGTTCGAATCAAGATATTCCTTGCCAAAGTATCTTGGAAAACAGAAATCATATTTGTTACATCCTTAAATACTTTGTGAAGTCTTGTTGGGTAGAAACATGTAAATGGTTGTGTTATTGGTATTTATTTATCCCTGTCTAAGACAGATTGGGTTTAAATTTCCTTACAAGGACGACTGACTCTTGTCATCTTTCATTATGAAAGTCAGTTGGAAGTAGTCATTTTAAATAACTTTGAAAACCAAACTAATAGTTTTCAGGTTTCGGTATTTTTGTTGCTACTTTGTTTTCCTAGCAGGCTCTTCTTTGAAACCCACTAGAGTTTTTATTGAATACCATAAGTGCAAGACAGAAAAATAAAATTCCTCAAACAATAATCTGAATCTAATTTTTCCACAGGAACTTGAAAGAGTTACCTCATTACAGACTGGTCTTCAGCTGGCTGCTGTGATCTGTACAAATGGGCGGAGGTACTGTTCTCTATGATATTTTGTTTTCTAAGCTGTAAAATATTTTTAAAATGAGGGTGAAAGGGCTGGGGATTTAGCTCGGTGGTGCCACAGCTGCCTCACAAGTGCAAAGACCTGAGTTCCATCCCTGGTACCAAAACAAAAACAAAAACTTGACTTTTAAAATGATGGCTGTAGTTTGCAGAATAACATTTGTGATGGGAACTCATATTATGATCTAAAAATTACACCGAAAGGACATGTGGGAATATCTACAAGCAAATGTAGAGGTTAAAAATATCACTGTTTGTGAAGTTGTTTGGGCTAGTGCTTCCTGACTATTTGTGGCGAAGAACCAGTGTTTTTCTTTTTTTCCACCAACTTATCACAGGCTATTTTTGTAAAATGTGAAAGAAACAAATTATGAGGAAAATGACATAAAAAAATACAACATAGACATAAAGCTGTCTCAATTTTTAAGTTATTACATTGACAAAGAATAAAGTTATTCTGTTACATTTTGCACTACATTTTTAAATGTTTTAACTTCTGTACTCTTCTTATTTTGGACCATTGATAGTTTGCAGATGGGCATCAGTATATCCACCACATAGGAGCACTGCTGGTTTAGATTGTGCCGTTGCCTAAATTTGTCACATGTTCTAGTTTAAATAGCAATCTGGGTCACTAGTGGCTTAATTGTTCTGTGTAGATCGTGTTCTCATTATATTAGAAAACTTTTAACTATATATTCTTCACTCTTGCAGACACTTGAATGTTGCAAAGGAAGGTTTTACTCAAGCTAGTTTAGGCCTTCTTGCAAATCAGAGGAAACGACAGTTGCTGCTTGGACTTCTGAAGTCTCTGAGAACTATAAAAACACTGGTATATACAGGTCATTTAAAAAAATAAACCTGAGTTTTGTGTTTGAAACAGCTATTACCTTTGATTTTTTTTTTTTTTCCAGCAAAGAACAGATGTACGTTTAAGTGAACTGCTAGAGGTAAGGTAACAAGGCTTGGAAATTTGATAATGCTAATGATATTATGTAGAAAAATGATAGTAGACAAAATTCAAATAGGAATTTTTCTCAAATTGGTGTATACTCAAGAGCATTTTAAAATAAAGGTACTTGCCCTGGAGTCTTTTCTGTTGGTATAATGTATACCTATTTAGAAATCCAAATTTATTTGGAAAATCATTTACTTTTTGGCTAACTTCAGTCTTTTGATTGTATTACATCCAAATAGAAATCAAATTATGTTTTGCATCTAACATATAGTGGCGATTCATGGGATACATGATATTTTTGTTTTATTTACTATCGTGTATTCATTGGTTTTCTGAGTGTGCCATCTGTTTTGTTTTGCTTTTTTGATATTCTGAGCATTCTAATGAAAATATGTCCATTTTCCCCTCATACTTGAGCTCCTTGGGTAGGTGCTGTGTCATTATCTCGTCCTCCCCAGTGGTTTGAATCGCATTTGCTGAATTTAGATATGAGCATAGGGAAAAGTTTTTATGGTTTTCCATAGAATCATCATGTTATTTCTGACCTCTTATTATTAACCTAAGTTTGAGAGATCTATATGAGAAATTAATTTGGCATGAAATTATGGTAGGGGATAAATATAGTCTGAGATTATAATTCATGTTTCACTTTTCCCCATATATATATTTCCTTATTTTTATTGATATCTTGTTGATAGAACTATTGAACTTGATTACAAAAGGAAAAACATACTGTTGGACCACTTAATACAAACAATGTCAATAGAACATATGTTAATAATTAAAGCCTTGCCTATAAAGCAGCTTATAATCCCGTATATATTTATTTATCCATAGGTCTTGGTTTCAGAGGGCTGTTACTTTGGATTTGAGGGAACACAATATTTTACTATTTTTTTTCTCCTGCAGACATTTTAAGCCTGAAGTTAGTTGACACTCTATATCTTATTATTTACCTAGCATCAGTGTTCTAATTTTTGTTTAAGAGGAATTATATTTTTTTATTCCATAACTTTTGGTTAGAGGACAGGGAGAGATGTTTTTTCATTAGGGATTTTAAGAAAAATATTTTCAGTGTAATGAGTTATTGTTATGTAAAGGAGGAAGACTACCCAGGAGCTATTCAGCTGTGCCTAGAATGCCAGAAAGCTGCGAGCACTTTTAAACATTACAGCTGTATAAGGTAAGGTAATATAAACATTTTAAAGCTCATTCTGTTGTTAGTTCTTTAAAAAGCAATAGTTGTGGAACGCACAATGCTAATTAATAAAAAAGAAAGTTAATATAAAGTACTTTGTTCTAGCTTAATATTCAGGTTCATAAATGGCAGTACAGTAAAATTGTAGATAATAGTTCCTAAGATGTGAAAGATCAAATACCTTTAAATCCTTCTTGCCCTTGTCATCTCATTGAAACTCTTTCTCATATTGTTTCTAGTTTGACTGATGTCATTTTATAAGTAGTAGGCAAGGATAAATTAATCTGTTCACATCTCCATTGTGTCTCTTGGGAATCCTTCCAGTTAAGCTTTACTCATCCTATAAATATTGAGAATATTATTGAAGATGTAAGATAGTTCAAGTGTTTGGCTCATGATAAGTCTTTGGAGAAGTTTAAATCATCTTTGTAATACTGTACTTATGTGACTTTATATTTAATGTGTTACATCTTTTGTTCAGAATGTACAGTTATAAAATGTACAATGCTATAGAGATGGTTACATGGTTCTAACTTTATTAACACATTTTTGTTTTGTTTAAAATAAAGGGTTTGCATTATATCTTGGGGAGAACCCTGGATGTAATTTCCATCATTCCTCCAAAGCCACTCCAGATAAATGTACAATCTAAGTTAAATAGTGTGCTTATCAAGCAAACCTAGTGTTAAATTAAGTCCATACCGGACTCAGAGTGCAGCTGCTTCATCTCTCCTGTATGGGAATTCTGGCAGTCTGCGAATGCGACTCACTGATGTTACACATTGTTTGCTGGTATCTGAAAAATAAAGGAATTATGGTAGAGTGAAATATTGGTTCAGATTTGAATTCCTTTTTTCTATTTATATACCCTATCATAGGTCTTTGCTGAGTGAAGGCAGAGAGCTAGCTATTTTCCTTCCAGAGATTCTATTTAAATATTTCTTTTCTTTCTTCATCAGCATCATGCAGCTTGAAGTAGCACACTCTTTATTTGTTTAGGATGTGCATAGTAGGGTAGCACCAGTGATATTTTGGCTTTGTCCCTTTTGAGAGTGATTAACTGTTATTACTAAAAGCTTTACAATGTCATTTACACTTATTTGAGTGAATTGAGAATTAGCTCTATTCTGCTGAGTATCTTTGGAAATTTCTAACAAGATATTCTAGATCTGTACAGACATGGCATCCATTTAGTTCACTTTTTTCGTGGCAGGTCTCTTACATTGGTAACAGCTTATTTATTGGGTGGAAATAGCTCAGGCAATTATGTATTTACTGAGGGTTTACATGTGTTTTGCTTTGACATTGGCAGTATAATGGTGAACCATACACAGCATAATCAGTATAATTCCCTGGTTTTAAAGAGAGCATTATCTGTCAAAAAGAATTTGTGTTGCACTGAAATTCACACAGGTAGAACTGGGCTTTAGAGAGAAGGAAATTTTTTTTCTTTTTATTGAATTTCTTGGTACATTTCAGGTATACAGTATAGTTAACATTCATTATTGGGATCTTATACCTTTACATGACAAATCTTGGTTCTCATTTTTTCCCCTTGTCCCTGCCCTTCCTTCACCCCCTCCTCCCCTCCCCACTTACAAACACTTTATTTCCATTTTTTCATTTTCTCATATTTTTTTCTTTTCCCTTATTCCCTTTCCCCTACCCTTCCGACTTTCCCTATACCTTTAGCCCTTTTCTTCCTCTTTCAAATTGTTAATTATCTTATTAGGATCTTGTGTACTATTATAGTTTTTCACACCAGAGAAACTATTCGGTATTTACATATGTGTGACGTATTTATTTCACATAGGGGTATATCCTCAAAATGTATCCATTTTCCTATGAATGAATCTAATTTCTCATTCTTTATGGCTGAGTAGTATTCCATTTTATAGAAAAACCACATCTTTATCCATTTCCAACTGATGGGCAAATGGGCTGTTTCCAAGTTTTACCTGTTACAAACTGTGCTGCTATAAACATAGGTGTGCATATATCACTGTGATTTGATTCTTTTAATTCTTTTGGAAAGATACCCAGCAGCGGGATGGCTGGGTCAAATGGAACCTCTAATCCTAGTTCTTTGAGATATCTCCATATTGATTTCCACAGTGGTTGCATCAGTCTGCACACCCACCAACAATGGAGAAGGGTTCCTTTCTCCCCACAACTCTGCCAACATTTGTTATTGTTTGATTTCTTGATAGCAGCCATTCTTTGTGGGGTGAGGTGGAATCTCAGGGTTGTTTTCATCTGCATCTCTCGAATGACCAGTGATGTGGAACATTTTTTCATGTATTAACTTGCTGCTTTTACTTCTTTGTCTGAGAAATGTCTGTTCATTTCAGGTGCCCATTTTTGAATTGGGTCTTTGTATTGAGGGGGCTGATTATTTTGAGTTCTTTATATATTCTAGATAATAGTCCTTTGAGGAGAAGCTGGTAAAACTTTTTTCCCATATTGTAGATTGTCTCTTAGTTCTGTTGATGGTTTCTTTTGCAGTGCAGAAGCTTTTTAATAAGATGAGATCCCAGCTGTTGATTCTTTCTGCTAGTTCCTGTGCTACTGAGGATTTGTTCATAAAATCTTTTCCTATGCCAATGTCTTCAAGAGTTCTGCCTAACTTATCTTCCAGCAAGTTTAGTGTTTCTGTTTTAATGTTTAGATCTTTAATCCACTTGGATTTAAATTTAGTGCATGGTGAAAGATAAGGGTCTAGTTTTAATCTTTGGCATATTGAAATCCAGTTTTTCCAACACCATTTATTGAAGAGGCTATCTTTCCTCCACTGAGGATGGTCAGCTCCTTTGTCAAAGATGACGTAGCTGAGTACATCTGGATTTATTTTTGTGTCTTCCAGTCTGTTCCACTGATCCTCAGATCTGTTTCTTTGCCAGTACCATGCTGTTTTTATCACAGTGGCTTTGTAGTATAGTTTCAAACTGGGAAATGTTATACCCGCTGCCATGTCTCTGTTGCCTAGGATGGCTTTTACTAATTTGGTCTCTTATGGTTCCAAATGAATTTTTGGATTCTTTTTGCTAGTTCTGTGAAATATAGTGTTGGAATTTCAATTGACATTGCATTGAATCTGTATAGCAGTTTTGGTAGTATGGCCATTTTCACTGTGTTTATTCTTCCTACACAGGAACAGGGGATATCTTTCCATTTTCTTACATTCTCTTCAATCTCTTTTGTTTAGAGTGCTGTAGTTTTTAGTGTAGAGGTCTTTTGCTTCTTTTGTTAGGTTGATTCCTAGATATTTCATTTTTTTGGATGCTGTTGTGGAAGGAATTATTTCCCTAATTCCTCTCTCAGTGAGTGTTATTTTTGTACAAGAAGGCTATTGATTTTTGGGTGTTGATCTTGTATCCAGCTACTCTGCTAAAAGTGTCAATTAAATCTAGAACTGTTTTGCTGGAGTTTTTTGGGTCTTCAGTGTAAAGTATCTTATCATCAGCAAATAATGGCAGTTTAGCTTCTTTCTTTCCTATCTTTATTGCTTTAGTTTCTTTCTCTTGTCTAATTGCTATGGCTAATGTTTCCAGAACTATATTGAAGAGGAGTGGTGATAGTGGGCATCCTTGTCTTGTTCCTGATTTTAAAATGAAAGTTTTCAGTTTTTGGCCATTTAATATTATGTTGGCTGTTGGTTTTTCATAGATAGCCTTTATTAAGTTGAGATATAGACCATCTATTCCAATTTTTTGCAGTATTTTTATCATGAATGCGTGTTGAATTTTGTCAAATGCTTTTTCTGCATCTACCAAGAGGATCATGTGGTTTTTGTTCCTGACTTTGTTAATATAATGTATTACATTTATTAATTTATGTATGTGGAGCCATCCTTGCATCCTTGGAATAAATCCGACTTGGTCAGGATGTATGATCTTCCTGATGATCCTCTGTGTTCTGGTTGCTAGTATCTTATTGAGGATTTTTGCATCTATATTCATTAAAGAGATTGGCCTGTAGTTCTCTTTTTTAGTAGCATCTTTCCCTGGTTTGGGAATCAAAGTGATACTTGCTTCCAGGAATGAATTTGGAAGTATTGCTTCCCTTTCAATTTCATTGAAAAGTTTGAAGAGTAATGGCAGTAGTTTTTCTCCAAATGTCTTGTAAGCAGTGAATCCATCAGGACCTGGGCTTTTCCTTGTTAGTAAGTTTTTAATTATATTTTCAATTTCACTGATTGTAATTGGGGTGTTTAAACTGCTTTTATCTTCTTTGTTCAACTTTGGTAATTCGTAAGTATCTAGAAATCTGTCTATTTCTTCTGTGTTTTACATTTTATTAGAGAACAGCTTCTTAAAGTAGGTATTGACTGTCCTCTGGATTTCTGTTGGATCTGTTGTGACTTCACCTTTTTCATTCCTAATTCCATGGATCTGTGCCTTTTCCTTCCTTGTTTTGATAAGGTTAGCTAAAGGATTTATCAGTTTTATTTATTCTTTCAAAAAACCAACTCTTCGATTCATCTATTTTTTGTATTGTTTTCTTAGTTTACAATGCATTGATTTTTTTCTCTAATCTTTATAATTTCGTCTCTTGTTCGAGCTTTGAGTTTTTCTTGCTCTTGTTTTTCCAGAGGTCTAAGATTCATCTTTAGGTTGTTTATTTGAGCTTGCTCTGTTTTCCTAGCGTGGGCATTCCGTGCTATGAGTTTTCCACGTAGAATTGCTTTCATTGTATCCCATAGATCCCTGTATGTTGTAATGGCATTTTCGTTTATTTGTTAAAACTGTCTGATTTCTTCTTTAATTTCCTCTGTTATCCATTGATTATTCAGCAGAGTGTTGTTCAATTTCCATGTGTTTATGAAGTTCCTATGGTTTCTTATGCTATTGATCTCCAGCTTAATTGCACTGAGCTCTAATAATATACAGGGAATAACTTCGATTCTTTTGCATTTATTTAAACCTGTTCTGTGAACTAGTATGTCGTCTGTCTTGGAGAATAACCCATGTGTGGCTGAAAAGAAT